TACTACATGAACTAAAAAGAAGAGACCACTTATTTCAGGTAATGTTCCACAAGCTCAAGATCAAATAATCAAGGCTCTGTTTGGTTGCTAAGAAAATCAAGGAAAAGATAGGGGACAAAAATGTCACGGAATTATTAAAGTCATGAACTTTGAGCAATTAAGTTATTAAATTTTGATAAATTCAGATCAAATTCGCAGCGAAAACACGGAAATGACGCTAAAGTGATGATTTTTACTAAAACCCTCTGGAATTTGGAGCACTGGATTTAAAAAAAAAAATCCAAACTTTTTGGCTTGTCACTTGTTACAGATTCTGGGCAACCAAACAGAGCATAAGAAAATGTAAGAAAAGGAGGAGGAAAGAGAAATTACAGGGCGGAACGTAAGGAGGATGCTGCTGCTGGGGGTGATCGTGTAAATTGCCGGGGTCGTAATACGCCACCGCCGGCGACATCTGGCCGTCGATTGTGTACAAATTTCTACACCAAAAATGTGGAAAAAGAAATCGAGATTAAAATAAATAAAAAAAGGAGAAGTCATTAATATTAGACGAAATTGATGAAATAATTACCTGAAAGACTTGGATTGTTGCTGCTGTTGTTGGGGTGGGTAGTGCTGTTGGAAATGGTGCTGGGGAACAGCCATAGCTATTGAGGTTCTAGAGAGAGAGTCAGAGAGCTTTAGAGAGATAAAGAGGGAGTTCCCTTCTCCGATGGGACAGAAATGGATAGAGAGAGCGAGAGAGAGAGAGAGAGAGAGAGAGGTTGCTTCTTGCTTGTGTGAAAGGCACAACTGGATCTCTAGCCGTGGGAAGATTCCATCTTTATTTTTCACCGCTTGTCCTCATTTGTTATCAGGCTTCTTATTTGTGGGCTTTTTTTTTGGTAAATCTCAAAAATTTTAGTCTTGCTCTAATAGCTTGGGTCCCATTTTATCGGGCCTGATAACGAATTTTCAGTCCGGTCCATGTTTTGAAGACCAACGGGCACCAAAACTGTGTAAGTCTTTATCTATTTTTTTATTTTTAAATACATCGATATTTTTACATTAAAGGGAAAGGGAGTTCGGTTAAGTCACACAATGAAAAACCTAATTTGACTTTGAATTTTCCTTCAACAATATTCGAACCTAAGACCTCTCACTAGATTTGAATTTAATTTGACATTAAAAAATCACTAAACCGTAATACTAAGTGGTAATAATGATAATTCCTGTGGGTTGATATTTGACATGGTCTTACGACTCAATTAAGGTGTTCATGGGTCAGGTCGGGCTCCCGTGGATAAGGATTGGACACGTACAGTCTCTTCTAACCCAACATAATTAGTAATTGTTTTCCAAGCCCAAAAACGATGCAAGTAAACCAATGTCGCATAGTGGTCCAGTGAATGAATATAAATTCGTAGCCCGTATTTAACACAACACTCCCGAGTTCAATTTTTTATGTTGGTGAATCATACAATAGAAATTGAAATGTTTTTGTGAGTCTTTTCGACCTCCCAAAAAGTGAACTACCATAATAAATCCAGTAACTAATCCTTTTTAATGAAAAAAAAAACACCATACGAATACTAAAAGTCACATGATTACTAAAAATATTATGAATCGGGTTAATGTTCAAGCCCAAACTTACATAAGGTTCATATCAAACAAAAGGGTAACGCTTTCATACCATGCAACATTCATACTAAGGGCTTTTTCAAATTAAAATTGTAAGTTGGAAAAAATTAAGAGAAGGTAAGAGAATCTCTAAAAGAGACGTCAAATATTGAACACTAAATTTCAATTTGATGATCTACATGGCAGTTTGGACATCATACTAAAATTACATCTCTAACCAATGTGTCTAATATATTATTTTATATTTTAATATATTAACTTTTCAAATCATATTAAATGCTAAAAGAAATATAAATAGCTAGACTTATACCAAGCATTTAATGCAAGGCTAATCCAAAAGTTAAAAAACAAAACCTAAAATAATTATTTGGCGTATGAATTTTGAGGCGGTAGTTTTGACGCCTCCTACCAAGCCTTCAATCTACATCAGCTTTTGGCTGATGGGTTGGAATGAATTCCAATGCCATATTTTATTGTTACAAGTTCACTTGGCAATTGAAAGCATTGGTTGGAGATTGTATAATTCAGTATCTTAAAAATCAAGAATCATCTAGGAACTAATTTATCCATTCACATTCATTCTTTCCTTTATTCACATTCATGAATTCCTCTTATGACTTTCTCATACAATATACTAACAAGGAGAAATGTAAAGAGGTTCTATTAAATTGTGGTTCTTCATAAATCCTCTATCATCTTATATTTTAATATCAATTTAAATGCTTTCATTATAAAATATTGTACCAAAACTACGAAACAATTAATTAGTGATCTCATGTGCTTATATAGCCACCGAAAAGAAGAAAAAAATTACAAATTACAATAATTTCATACTTTTAAAATTAGAATAAAATGAAAATAAAAAAGAGAGAATTTGTGAATATAGTAAGTAGTAATACAACCTGTAAAATCAACACTCATCCTGGGCACTCGGGCAGCCCAAAAGTCCCAACCGTGTCTTTTCCTCCCTCACAGTCTGCCCGAACTCCAAAAGTCTGCCCGCTGAGTTGCCCCACCACTTGTTCTCTTTAACGAAAACAAAGAAAATGAATAATTTTTAATGAATTTCGTGTGCTTCCTCGTCCTCTGTCGATCAACTAGTGGTGCAGTTCGTGAGCTTGATCGGAACGTTGAGCTTCTTGGGATCAAAAGTCACAGAACAATCAACCCGCCGGTTGAATTTCGGCTTCACCAACTTCCCCAAAACGTAGGCTCTGGATCGGATCACGAAGCTCAGCTGCAGCGGCACCGGCAGCGCCGTCGTCCCCGTCACGCTGTTCATGCTCGCGCCGCTACCGTACAGCGGTATTTTATCGCCAAATACCCGAACGCTGATCGTTCTTTGACTCTTCCTCGATTGATAAAATTTTTTAATCTGCATAACCCAATTGAGATTAACGATCTAATCGATGACTTAATCGATGAAACTACGAAAGTTAAGTATAGAAATTGGAAATTGGACTCACTGTTCCGGAGGCGATTGTGATTTGGAAGTATGATAGATCTAGAGGCTTCGGCATTACGTGCATTCCGAAGAACGTGCCGGTGTTGCGGAATGTGAACTTCACTGTGGAATTGATTGAGATCATATCAGTGGAAACGCCGGTGGAATCCGAACCCGCTTGAATCTTGAACTGTTCGAACGTCACACTCTGCAATTATACAAAATTAACCCGAATTAATCACTACCCAGATAATCAATTTTCCAAATGGAGATTGATAATCGACAATGGCGAATCGGACGAACCTTCATGGTGATCTTGGGCTTCATGGGCCTACTGGCGCCCCAGAGAATCAGAGCGAACATGGAGAAGAGGAGGAAGAAACCGAGAACGAAAGCTGGAAAGTAGCACCGCCGTGGAAAGCCTTTGGATCCCTCTTCTCCCTCCAGAAGGCCCTCCTCTTCGATAACGGCTTGCTCCTTCCACAGCTTATGTCCCTTCCGGTTGTGGCGGGACCCGTCATTGGGGTTGATCTTTCGGGATCCGGGTTTGAGGGACCCGGAAAACCGGGTGGAGGAGGACTCGCGGGAGTGGTGGCCGGTGGAGGAGTGGGAGTGGGGAGGGGAGCCGGAGGGACTGATGACGGGGGTGGACTGAAAAGACGTCGTGGTTTTCTCTCCATCGTGGGAGTCGCGCGAGGGGCTCTGGACGTAGTAGACTGGGCGGCGGCCTGGGGATCTGGTGGGGGACGACGGCGCGAGGCTGGTCACCTCGGAGTCAGTCTTGGCGTGCATTGCAGCGGAGTTTGGATTGTTTGGTTTCAATTCGAAGTTACTGTAATGGAGGAGCTGAGCTGAGCGAGTGTTATGGTGGTGATCTTGGAGTAGGATTATACCTTGCTGCGGTGGAGAGGGAAGACAAAAGTCACAAAAGTGGGGAACTAATTTTTTTTATTTTTTTATTGTTTTTAAGAGGACAACTAGTGGTAAGTCACAGTTAATTATATTTTTCCGAGACTGAGAAGACTTACAGAGATATTTCAGTATTTTTCTGGTTACAAGTCTGGTTTCTACATCAGCAACGGATTTCGAACTCAAAACCTTCAATTTTTAATGTTAATTTTATTAGGGGATTAATGTTTATGATTTGGTAGGTGAAAAAGTTTAGGTTAGGCGAAATAATGGGAACTAATTAAACTGACAGACATATCACAGTTGGCACCGCGCGCATGTCATATGCCAAATTGCCAGATACTCGTATATGTTGCTGTTCGTAAATAATAAACACTCTTTCTAATCTTTCACACATTATTATGTAATTATTATTTATTATTTCTATTTTATTTGTTCAATTTAATGGATACCAACAAAAAGGACTGCGAAAAAACTGAAAAAAATGTGTGAGAATCAAAATCTACTCTCTTGATCTAAAGCGAGTATACCTGCAACTGAAGTCTTCCGATTATAATTGCTAATTCACTTGTATTAAAAAAATTAAGAGTGGATTATGTGTTTATGGGAAATTATTGAATGTACATTAACAATCAAATTTTGTACTTTAACCATCATAATTTTTTTAATACAACAATATCTTTACGATAAGGGATAGGGGCATTAAGCCAAACTACCCAATAAAAACTCTATAATAAGTCGTATCTAACTTGTGATATAAGAGAATTGAACTTAAAAATTCTTACTTAAAAATTAAAAATTAAAAATAAAACTGTAATGCTAAGTGAATAACTATCGTAAGTTAAATATATGCATTTATTATGCATGACTTCTTTTACGAAAAAGATAGTGAGCAATGCATACTGACTTTTTGTATGTTTATATAAAAAATAAAATGTGAGTTGTATGTTACAATTTGTAATCAAATACATAAAAATTGAGAACCATATCAATTGGTAAGAGGGCCTACTTGATCTCTTACAATTTCAGCTAAGCAAATGACAAAAAATACTGACCCTGTAGGGGTCCCAAGTGGCATCGTATCCTTCGTAAGGGTAGTCCTCTCCGCTGTCAATTCCACCATTTTTTATGATGAACTCGAAGGCGTAGTCCATGAGACCACCATTGCATCCTTCATTGTATGTTGACTAATTCCTAGCAAAAATCTCAGAGAGCAGCACCATCAATGTTTTACGTATCCGTTACTCTGTTCGAGATTCCAAAACGCTCAATAAAAATCCTTGTGAGAAACCCCAGTTCACCTGTCTTCAGTCGAAGCCGGCATTGGCTGCTGGGACCTCCGCACGGGCGCCGAGCAGCTCCGCTACAAGCTCTGCGCCTCTCCGCCTCGCGGTCTCATCTGCGTAAACGAACGGTTCCTCGCCTCCTCTCAGCTTCTCGAGTCTTCTTCCTCCTCTTGCTCTGTCCTGGCCCTGGTCCAAGGTAAGATCACCTCCTTTCTTATGCGCACAACCCGTTTGATGAATTGCCTCAATTGATAAAAGTCTGCATTTTTATTGAATTTTGGGAATTCTTGCAATTTTATTGAATTTTGGGAGTTTTGATGTGCAGCTGCAAGTTCATGTCTAGAGCTTTCCAAAAGAACCGATCAATCCGCTCACTGCGAACAGCGAAGGCACATAGATTGTTGGCGGAGGCTCGCCGGGGAATATCTACTTGTGGGAGGTTATTTTTCCTAATCATTTTTCTTTGTCTTCTTGGATTTTCGTAGCATGTATTCTTATAAGTTCCTCAATATCTATGACATGTCTTTTGCCTATGGCCCTATTATGTACTGATGCATTCATATTCGTCTCCAATAAACAAAAAAGCAATGCATTCTTGAAACTGCATGTGCATTATAGTTTTGATTTGGGTGTACATTACTTAGTTTGGAGCGTAGGAAGTGGGAGATTATTGAGAAATCTTGTTTTCCCTACTATATTCTAGTTTGCAGTTTTTTTTGTTATTCAGATGAGTTTTCTTCAGTTAACACTTCTCTAATTTTTAACGGTGTATTTTCCTTTTTCAAAGTATAACTGCCGAAGATTGTTGCATGTTTTAAGAACTCTGGATTCTTCATTTAGTTATGACAGGCTTTGCATTCTGGTGAACTGAATCGAGGAACATTCATTTTCGTATATTTTGAATGAGTAAAACTCTTTTAACTCACAAGTTTATACTTTGACTTTTTGAACAGCAAAGCTGTTACTTGCATAGCATATGGTATTTCTGGAAATCATTTGATTTCTGGATCAGAAGATGGCATGGTTCGAATTTGGGATGCTATAACTCATAACATTGTTCGCATGTTCAAACATGCAAATGGCTATCTCAATGCTATTTGAATTATTTCCTTCCCCGGGTTTATGCAAATTTGATGCGAATTAGTGTACCACTGTTTCATAATACAGTTTATATTCGAATATCTCAGTTGTTTATGTTCAATCTGCCAAACTTTACTAATCTGTTTAGTATTGACATAAAATTTTGCACTGTACTCTGTAGGTCTAGTGAATAATATTCTAGTCATTCGACAGCATTTTTCTGAGAAATATACAAGAAGTTGTGTTAAGGTTGCAACTTGTGTTGTATTCTTGGTTCTGACTTCAACTGAAGACCTCGAACAAGTCTGGAGCTCTTTGCATTATAGTGTACACACACGCGCACAATTAATGTGCCTATGCCCAGACGATCTTCATTATGCCCGAATGCAAAGGAAAAGACCATTCTGGTGAAATTTGTAATGCATCAGCCAACCACCGGTTCTAATAATGCATGCAGCTTTCTCTCCCTTCCCATCGCACTTCCCCTAAAGAGAATGTGTCAACCCTGCGTTCGTTAGCAGCACCCGCAATAGTCAGGTGAGTAGGATTAACCAAAAAAAAATAACTTCAAAAGGTCAACGAAACATGCATGCATAAACTAAACACCTCAACTAATTTTGAAATTACCTGTTTTGCACTCTCCCTTTTTGATGATTTTTGCAGCCGGCCAAAGTGAGCTGCAATGTAGTGGTTAAATCCTGTAACTGCTAGCAGCTAAACCAGACAACTGGAGGGTCTTGGTGAATCCAGTTTTTTTAGGTCTGCCGCCCTCCCAAAAGCGTGCTTGTGAAACTTTCTGCAAAATTTTGTGACTATAAACTGTTACTTTCTTGCATATATTTTTTGGAATGAAATAAGACTAGAGCATTGCAAATCACGATATTGGGAGAGGGGGAATTGAACTCGGGACCTGGAATATGATAATCTGCACTTGTTTAGTTGGAATATTGTAATTTGTCAAGTATAATAAAAGCTCTACCCCATAAATTGTTTAGTTGGAATATTGTAATTTGTCAAGTAAAATGAATAGAGTGAGTTGGTAAATAAATAGAAAAGAACTTAATTACCAGAAATGGACGGCCTCTCATGCAACTAAACAGCATCCTCTGCTTAGAATATGACGTCACCCTCATCGTCAGAAAAAAAAGGTAATCTACCTGTGATTTTGATGTTGGGGATGTGAGAAATCTTGGGCCATTCCTTTCCTCTGCCTTTTTGGCAGCCTCGTGCAAGATTGCCAGAGTGGTTGATGACAAGTGTTTGAAGTGGTGTTTTCCGCAAGAAGTCTGGCAATGTTTTTAGCGATTCGCAGTTCTCAAACTTCAAAGAAGAAAGGCATGGCATTATGGTAATATGAGAATCCTCTTCCTTCCACTCTGCCACTCCTTTCCACTCTTCCCACGCCTCCATTTCCAAAAATCCTAGTTCTTTAAGTTTTGGGAATAGAGTAATGCATGATGATGCTGATGACGTTTCCTTTTCTATTCCCAGAAACTCAACTCCAACCTTTTTTACTCCTTTCATACCAAGAAGCGCCAGTCCTTCGAGGGACGGCAATCTTCCCAAATGAGGTAAAACTTCACATTCCCATGTAGAAAGAACAAGAAATCTCAAATTGTTTAATGACATGATCCAGTTGGGGGCAGTGCTTTCATTATGCCCTCTAATTTCTAAATATTCCAAATTTGGATGCGGTCGTAAAAAATTCAGTGTTTCTGCACTTCTTCCACAACCAAAAAGAGATATACTCAATTCTAAGATTTGTTGTTTGTTCCCCAGGGGTGATGCTTTCTCACCCTCACCCGCTGCAACTTTCACATCCCCATCAATTACTATCGAAAGTCCCCCCTGAAGTTGGTCTAAGTTTCTCAAATCTCCCAATTTGAACGCTTCATCGTCGTCTTTACCACCGCTGACAGGGCACCGATCTAATCCTCTTAGATTTGTTAATCTCCCAATCCCCTTCGGCAAGTACTTCAGATTACGACAACCCCAAACATACAGATGCTTTAAGTTAATCAACTTTCCCATGCTCTGAGGTAGACTTTCAAGTTCTTCACACTCAACAAGGCGCAAAGTCTGCAAATTGTATAAATTACACACCCCATTCGGTAGCCTTTTCAAAGGATTTTTGGACAGATCAATAAACCTCAGATGCACCATTTCACCTATCTCTTCCGGAAGCACTTCAATACAATGACCACTCAAATTTAATGTCCTAAGATGTTTCAACTGCGAGAACAAAGTTGAGTTCACAACATTAAATTTTGAATCAAAAGTGGCAAGAGTACGTAGATCGTAGCTGGAAAACGAAACACATGAGAGTGGACCCTCAGGTGCAAGCATTAAGGTCAAATGGCGGATCTTATCACCCAAGGGATTTATTGTATTGTTACCACCCTTAACCTCCATTGTAAAGCATTCATGTTGAGTAAGATACTGCAGAAAATCGTGCACAATATCATGCATTTTACACCTCCCGATATTTCCATTGTCGTCTTTTTCAAAGTCTTGGAAGAAAGACCGCATTACTAAATTATCAAAACACCTTCGGCCAATTATTTCCTTCTCTGTGTTTCCTTTCGAATAGAGGTAATCTTGTGACATCCACAACTCAATCAAATAATTTTTATCGATCAAATGATCTTTTGGAAAGATAACACAATATAAAAGGCATCGTTTGACCGTAGGTGCCAAATCAAAATAACTCAGTAATAGTGGTTGGAAAACTTGTTGCTCAACCTCTTCAAGTTCCCATATCTTACTGTTCAAAACTTCTTGCCATTCTTTCCTCGTTTTCTTGTAACGCATGAGACTACCCAAAGTCTTTGCAGCAAGAGGCAAACCCTTGCACTTTTTTGCTATTTCTTCACCAATGGCTTCCAACACACCATCCTTATCCCTATTATAAAATGCCATGCGGTTGAATATTGACAAACAATTTTGTTCGCTCAACCTCTCCAAATAGATTGTGCGCGTGGGAGCTCCCATCATATCAGCAACCTCCTGTTTTCGAGTGGTCACCAATATTCTACTGTCATGGGCGCCACCTTGTATTAATGGCAACTTCAATTTCTCCCACTTTCTTTGGTCTTCAGTCCACACATCGTCTAGGACAAGGAGAAACTTCTTTCCCTTAATGGATTCAGACATACACTGAAAGAAATCTTCCAACTCATCCGAATTTGGGCTGACAGCTTTAGCACCAGAGATGATGGCTTTAACAATTTTCATCTCATCAAAAAGGTCTGAAACACAAACCCATATTCTTATCCCAAAACAAGCTTTAACATTTTCATCGTTAAAAGCCAGTTGGGCCAAAGTTGTCTTTCCCATTCCTCCCATCCCGACAATAGGGATGACAAGGAGGCCCGTCTCTTCTTGACTACTCTCATTCAACAACTTGCTAACCAAAACTTCCTTTTGTTGTTCTCTACCAAATATGATAGATTCATCAACAAAAGAAGAAGTTTTCTCTCGCTCAGGTTGTTCACTGATTATTCTCTCTGTGAATCGAAAGTTATATGTTTCTCTTTGCTTTGCAATCTCATCTAAATTTTCATTCAGACTTTTGATCTTAAGAGCAATGTCACGATGAAGAATTATCCGATGGACTTGGCCGAAACAAAAGCAAGAGGATGGAATAGAGAAACATACCGACTTCATCTTCTTCTCAGTAACAAGAGAAGTACTTCCACCGTTCTCTTCTTGTTTCTCAATTTGTTGTTTCAGTATTTCAGTGTTCCACTCATCCAGCACATCGTCCATCTTGTACGACACCTCTGTCAGCCCCTCCAGCCAATTTCTGACGCTGGCCTCCTTCACTTGCCTCAGCTCCGCATCCGCAAGCACAGCACGAATCGCTTTAAGTTTGGCCTCGAATTCTTGAACATCTTTCTCCGCATTCAAAACCAACTTCACCTCTTCTTCGCCGTATTGGTAAGTTACCGAAGCCAAATTTTGGAGCAGCACAGAAATGAGTGCCTCAGCCATCTTTCTGTTAGCAGTGGAAACAGAGAAAACCAAGATATCTGAACTGAGAAGTGCGGGATTGGTATGGTATTTTCTTCTGGCAAAATTTGGACATAAGAATATGGGTCGGCTAGACAAATAGGTCTAACAGCCACGCCTTGATCCTCATAATAAAAAACTCTCTTTCCAGTCAATTTACATCCTAAGCATCTAATGGTAATAATATGAACACCCTAATCAATTTACACCAGGTCATTACTAATAGTCAAAAAAGGCAACAATAATATTTAAATCCTCTTTCCTGTCAATTTACACCCTACCTAAAGTTTATTAATATTTATACCCTACCTAAAGATTTTTAATATTTAAATCCTCTTTCGTGTCAATTTACACCCTTATTAATATTTAAATCCCTTTCATGTCAATTTACACCATGTCTAAAGTTCATTAATATTTACACCCTACCTAAAGTTTATTAATACTTGAATTTTCTTTCCTTTCAATTTACACCCCATCTAAAGTTTCGCATTAATAAAAAAAAAAAAGACAGCAATAATATTTATACGCAAGGATCCTCTCTCCTTTCAATGTACACCCTAAAGACTCTCCTTTTTGTAAAATATCTAAATCAACACTACATTTTGAAATTTTAATTGACAAAAAGAGTTCTTAAAGAATTTATTAAAAGGTAGTTTAGATAAATTAATTTTCTAATAGATTATTTCTTTAGCCTAAGCCTCCTCCTTCAACTCCCACATCCATGTTCGTTCGTAGCCGTCAACCCAAATTATGACGCTGCCTCCGCCGTCTCCCCCTAGCCTGAATCAAAACCTCACACACGAGCAAAAAAAATTGCAGGCGTATGTAGATGGAGGTGGGCCAGCCCTTCTTTTTTTTTAAACCAATTGCTCCCTACATTTATTTGACGGCATCTGGTTTTTCATTTTATTCAAGTTGTCTTTTATCTTTTTTTTTTTAACCAAAGATAGAGATATATTAAAGACGAATAGAAAGGTTTACATCCTTAGCAAGAATATTAAACAGAAAATCAGGACCAATACAATCCCAAGAAAAAGATCGGCCCTCCTTAAAGGCATACTTAGCCACCGAGTGAGCAGCACGATTGCCCTCTCTAGGCACAAAAGCAAGAGACAGACCTCAGCTTTTGCACTAGAACCTCAATGTCGCCGAGAATACACTCAATACTGAAGTCAACCAACACTTCCTTCTTCAGCATCTTAATAATCGAACTTGCATCAGATTCAATGATGATGTCATTAAACCCATGGTCGATACAGGCCAATAAAGCATACCTGATGGCTGAAGCTTCAGCAGCAGCGGCACTATGACAAAATCCGGACCCAATCCCCCCAGCCGCTTGGAGCAAACCAGCAAAATCTCGACCCAGCCAACCCACCCACATACGCATAGTGTCTTTACACCAGGCCGCGTCAGAATTAATCTTAATAGTTCCGAACCTAGGTTTCTGCCACTTAGTACAAATATTTTCTGGAGCCTTGATTGTCTTCGGCAGCCTCGGGCTATAATCATCGGCTTCCCGCGCCAAACTGACTTTATACTCGCTAGTGCTCTTCCTTCAGGCTTCCAAGATATCCAAAGGCTGACGATGTATCCCTTTGAATATCACATCATTTTTGTTTTTCCACAATCTCCACAGGCCAAAGGCAAATTCTTGACGAATATCATCCGCATTGTTCATGTCCTTCACTTGGGCACAAAAGTTGCTCCAGCTTTCGAGAAAGTCACTTCCCTCCAGGGCATGGGAATTGAGGTGAAGAGGAGAACAAAACCAGAAGACATGGCTAATTTCACATCGGAAAAACAGATGGTTTTCAGTTTCATTAATGGCGTTACAAACACCACAAACATTGTCGATTCGCATTTGACGTCTTTTAAGATTCCGTCTGACCGCCAGAGCATTGTTGCAGCATCGCCAAATAAAGCTTTTGATCTTGTTTGGAACCTGTAGACTCCAGATATTATTCCATACCAGATTTAGCTTGTTCCTTTCACTAGGGGCGCCTCGCCCTCTCCTTCCCAAAGCACATTCTTCCATCAGTTTTAAAGCCAAACTGTACCCAGTTTTAACTGAAAAATCCCATTGGTGGCATAGTGCCACACCAGTCTATCATCAATGCCAACATGGCTGAGAGGAATGCTTAAGATTGGTAATACATCTTCCCGCTGAAACCCGAACTCGATCAAGTCCGTTCGCCAAGAATTAGTCACTGGGTCGATCAGATCACATACCATTGTTCCTACGAGATTTGGCTGCGGGATGACTTTAAAGGTTGAGGGTTTGGGGAACCATGGATCCTTCCTGATATTAATGCTTTGCCCATTTCCCACCCGCCATCTAAGACCAAGGTTTAGCACTTTCCGAGCTTCAAAGAGACCTTTCCATCCCCATGAGGTGTTCTTCCCTTTAGGAGCTTCTCCAAAGGTTTTCCCCGGGAAATATTTATCTCTCAAAACCGAAGCGAGGAGGGACAAAGGATTTTGGGTAATTCGCCATCCGATCTTGGCAAGAAGAGCAAGGTTGACACATTGAATATCCTTGAATCCCAGTCCACCAGCCTTTTTCTGTTTCATGAGACGATCCCATGAGGCCCAGTGAATACCCTTACGTTGTTCATTACCGCGCCACTAGTAATTTCGAATAGCTCTTTCAACATCCCGACACACGCCAATGGGGAGTCTAAAACAACTCATAGCATAGTTAGGCAAGGCCATAGCAACTGATTTCACAAGGATCTCCTTTCCCGCCTGGGACAGGTACTGCTCAGCCTAACCTGACATTCGGGCTTCAATCTTATCCCGAATTTCAGCAAAGACAGCTTTTTTTAGTGTCCAAAATCCGCCTGCAGGCCAAGATATTTCCCAAATCCCTGTTTACTTTGAATCCCCAGGGAGTTCACGATTTCGGCTTTCTTACTTTTCGGGGTATTAGCACCGAAGAAGACCGAACTTTTATCCAGATTGATCACCTTCCCAGAGCCCCGAGCATACGTCTGAAGAACTGCCACTATACTTTCCGCCTCCTCCACTGAAGCGTTTCCAAAAACCACAGAGTCATCCGCAAAAAAAAGATGCGTTAGCGGTACACCAGTAGGGGATAACTTGAAACCGTGAAGGGCACCCCTTTCCAGGCTTCTCCTGATTAACATTGAGAACCCTTCGGTACAGAGAAGGAACAGGAATGGGGATAGGGGGTCACCTTGTCTTAGCCCCCGATTCGGCCGGAAGAACCCCGTTGGGGACCCATTTATGATGACACTAAAAGATACAGTAGATATGCATTCCTTAATCCAGCTGCAGAAGAGAGGCGCAAAACCCAGGCTAACCATCATACCCAAGAGGAAATCCCATTCAACCCGATCGTATGCCTTGGCCATATCAAGCTTGATAGCCATTCCAGGTTGGTCTCATTTTTTCTGGTGGGTTAAGGAGTGGAGGACTTCGTGCACCACTAAGATATTATCTTGGATTTGCTTCCCTGCCACGAAGGCAGATTGGTTCTCCCCAATCACTTTCGGCATCACCTTCTTCAGCCTATTAGTGAGAACCTTGGCAATAATCTTGTAGATGACATTACAAAAAATCGTCAGGTCCCAGAGATCTCGTAGGAGGGATTTGATAGGCAGCCTCCATAATTTCACATTCGGAGACCATAGCAGTTAAACCACGGTTGTCCTCGTGGGAGAGCCGACCCTCCATGCAACTCTGAACTTCCTCTACCAGATTAGGCTGACAGGATTGAAAAAGTTCAGTAAAATAATCAATAGCCGTATTACCGATCCTTTCAACACTTTACTGCCATATCCCCCGGGCGTCCTCTATCCCTCGGATCGTATTAAAACGGCGTCTTTTTAGCATTTAAGCATGGAAGAACTTGGTGTTCTTATCACCCTCGCGGAGCCATTGATTCCTGGATTTAACTTTCCAGTAAGCCTCCTCCTTCTGATGAGCAACGATGAGCTCCTTCTCTTTTTGCTTAACATCCTTAGAGGCAAACTCATTAGATTTGTAGGCCGCCCTTATCTCTTCCTTCAGTTGCTGAATCAGTTTCAACGAATTCCTTCCTCTTCCTTTGTACCAGACTTTTAAACTTCTTCTAAGATGTTTCAGTTTTTCACAAAAACGGTACGCATGTGAGCCATTAATCTTAACTCTCCAATCTTCCCCGACCAAATTACGGCACTCTTCCGACTTGCTCCAACGCCCATCGAATGAGAATTGCCTTCCCTTCCTCTTCGGACCTTTATCAGTCGAGAGAATCAAAAGGGCGTGATCAGATCATTCCAAGATCACATGCTTAATTATTGTGTTGGGGAACAATTCGTACCATCCTAAAGTCCCAACCCACAGTCGAGGCGTTGCTGAATAGGCAGGGACTCTCTTTTGTTTCTCCAGGTGAAGGGGTAACCTTCATAGCCCAAATCCATGAGCTCGTCACGAGCCACAAAATCTCTAAAGTCACGTAGACTAGCAGCCGGTCTGTAATTCCCTCCCTCATTCTCTTCGTTACAGAGAATATCATTGAAATCTCCTAGGAGGAGGCAGCGGTCCCTTTCTTGGGCAATACGCTTTGACAATTATTGCCATTGCTCCCTTCTCTTCTTTTCATCCGTGCTTGCGTAAATAGCGAATAGTCTCCAGCTACAGTTCATCTTTTCATCCCACAGCTTGAGTTCCACCAAAAAATCCTTCGATTTCATTAACACCACAGGGGTCGCATCTCTCCAGAAAACACATAAGCCACCTCCAATACCGCGAGGCTCCACAGCGAACCAGTGTTCCATACCCAATCTTCTTTTCATATGGGCAAAACTCCTACTTTTATTCTTAGTTTCCAGCAGATTAACCATGTCAATGGTGTGAAGCCGGTTCTGCTCCAGCAAGTTGTCAACTGTCAGGTCACCCCCGATACCCTGACAGTTCCACATGATTATCTTCATGGATGCGTGGGGGACCCCTTACGGCTGGTCTCCTCCGCCTCTTTAAAGAAACAACCTTTTCTTGGTCTGGTAGCTAATGGCTCATCTAGAGTAGTAGTCGATGAAAGCGCCATGTCCTGAATGTTTCGTTTCCTCCCTTTCACTTCCTTGGTTATTGCCTGAATTATAG